CCCACGCTGGCTCCACTCCCTTCTTTCCTCCCCTGGTTCCTCCTCTTATTCTTCCAGGTGGCATCGGAGTTCCAATAACTCAGACATCTTCATCTCACTGTCAAGGGAGAGTGTGTGGCCTGACATTGGTTTTGCGCATGTGTCTGCCTTGTGTGTGTCTCCCAGGCAATTATCAAATCAATTAACAACTTAACCCGGAAAATAGCAAGCCTACTCTCTTCTATGGGCTATGTCCGATTCACAAAGCTCGCCCCTACTGCACTCTGTGACAGAGGGGTATGGGCAAGTTGCGGGGGAGAGGGAGGGGAGAGTAGAAAGTGAAAGAGAGAGAGAGAGAAAGGCCCTAATTCCATCTTGTCGCTTCTCTGAGGGGTGCCTGCGCTGGGGAGCTGGGAAGCGGAGAGGGAATAAAGTAACAGTCCCATTTACAGTTAGTTATGAGTCTCTACAGCTGTGAACGGACAGGCCACGTTTCATCCGACTGACCCACATGAGATTGCTGTTTAGTTGAAAGTAATCAAATAGCGACTATTGCCCGGGCGTCATGGCTCAGTGGTTGAGCCTCGACCTATGAACCAGGAGGTCACGGTACAATTCCCCGTCAGGGCACAGGCCCGGGTTCCAGGCTGGATCCCCAGTAGGGGGCGTGCAGGAAGCAGCCGATCCATGATTCTCTCTCATCACTGATGTTTCTGTCTCTCTCTCTCCCTTCCTCTCTGAAACCAATAAAGATAGATTTTTGTAAAAAATATATTGACTATTTCACAGGACTCAACCGTATAGATTTAAACTCCCTTCCCACGTAGGATGGGATGGGTATTGTTGATCCTGTTTTGCAAATGAGAACACTGGCAGGTAGAGCTACCAGTTAGTGTGAGTTTTGGCGTACAGCAGGCATGAATGTGAATGATTTACACAATTTCCTCGTGGAAAACTTACCACAGAGCCAGCGCTAGGGTCTGAATGCTTGTGTCTTCTCCAAATTCACTTGTTGAAATCCTAACCCCCAAGCTGGTAATATTAGAAGGTGGGTGGGGCCACACGGAGGTGATTAGGTCCTGAGGGTGGGGCTCTCATGGCTGGGATTAGTGCCTTATGCAAGAGACCCCAGAGAGCTCCCTTCCCTCCCTCTACCTGCTTCCACCACATAAGGATACAAGAAATCTAGTCACCGGAAGAGGACCTTCAGCCGACCCTGCTGGGGTCCGATCTTGGATTTTCAGCCTCCAGAACTGGGAGAAATAAATACCTGTTGTTTCTAAACCAGCAGGTCCGGGCTCTTTTGTCATAGCAGCCTGCACACCCTAAGACAGGCAAACACTACCATGTTACCCATGTTACGGATCAAAGCCACAAACCACAAGCAAAGTTTCCAGAGGCTGAACAACACGCTTGGTGGAGAGCGTGTTGGACACATAAGGTTAAAGATGCCAGCACCCCAGGCTGTGTCTAATGCAGAGGGAGATTCGCAGGCACCCCGGGGACCCTGACACTCATCCTTGGCGGGTGTGGTCCGGCAGCCCCATGAACGGGGACAAGAGTTTGGCTTGGGAAGCTACCCGTTTCCTCATGCCTCCGCCTTCGCAGGAGGTGGGGTATGCGCACCGTCCTGAGAGTGTCAAGGACATGGAGAGGGGGTGACCCCCACTCTCTAAGTGGCTGTTGTGAGCAGGCGCCAGAGTCGGGTCCCACGTGAGGATGTTGTGTTTGAGACCTTCTGCACCGTCCCCCAGACAGGACTTGCCACTGGTCTTCCGTCTCCAGCACCCTGTTTGGAAGAGGCCCTGCGGAGCCGAGAATCTGGCCTCCGGTGAGTCATCACACTATCAAGTAGCAGCAGAAAGGAGGCGGCACTCCTTCCCCCGAAGCCTCCCTCTGGCCCTGGAAATGCCGGCCGCCGGCTGAGGCGCCTTCTTGCCCCAGGTCTCCCTGATGCCCTCTCTGTGCCGACACCATACGGTGCAAACTGCTTCCTCACGCGGTCAAGGGCGCACCCTCCGCTCTCTCCACCATCCCCTTCTTCTTCTTCAACGGGCATGTTCCCAAAAACGGCCCAGACAAAACAAAGCATGATTGGCTGCTATAGAATGACCACACCCTTGGAGAGCTTCATGCTCTGCACAGGGCAATGCACACTACACGTTACCGGTCAGTGGAAAATGCATGAACCGGCGATCGCTGTTAGACAATCGCCTGGTACAGATGTATCTCACTATCTCACTATCTTAGACTTACTTTCCTATGGGGGAAAAATGTACTTGAAAATTGTTCTCTTGCCTGGCTGGAGTGGGTCAGGGGTTAAGAATTGACCTATGAACCAGGAGGTCAGGGTTCGATTCCAGGTCAGGGCACATGCCCAGGTTGTGGGCTTGATTTCCAGTCAAGGGCACGTGAGGGCTCGATCCCCAGTGAGGGACGTGCAGGAGTAGCCGATCAATGATGTTTCTCTCCCATTGATGTTTCTTTCTCTCTCTCCCTCTCTCCCCCTTCCTCTCTGAAATAAAAAATATATATTTTTTTAAAATTTTGTTTTCTGTGTGTGTGTGTGCGTGTGCGTGTGTGCGCTCACCCATGTGAATGTTGGTATTGGCAATGGCGTTTGTTTTCAGCTTCAGTTGAATGTTCAGAAAGTGCATTTTCCATCTTCCATTTTCATAAGCCCATTGTGGCTACAGATGGTTCTCTACTCATTTGGGCCCAGCCCCAAGGTTCTGGTACGCGGTGCCATGAACTTATAAGTCGTTTACGGTGTCAGTTTTGATGTCTGCGTCCAAGAGTTAGTTTGGAAGGTATTTTCAAATTTCTAAGAGAGAAAACAAATTGCAGCATATTTTCTAGAAATCGTTTCTACCACCAATGCGAGGACCGCCTACCTTTCCTTGCGTTGTTCAGTCCATCTCGCAGCTCTCACATTTCAAAAGTCCCATGAGAGCCCATGAGCATCCTCCCAGCCCTGCAAAGCAGAGCTGGTTTGATTGACAGGCTGGTTTGATTGACAGGCTGGTTTGATTGACAGCCTCGGGGGACGAAGTCCACAGGGGTGAGATGGTGTGTCCAAGGTCACCGAGCAGAGAAAGGACATACGCCAAGGCCCCGGGGCGACCCCTGCCTGTGTGCTCCTGCCACATCCAGCCCTGGCTCTGGATAAGGTTCCGTGTTTCAGCAATGTTTATTGAATGTCTAGCATGTGGCAGCTACGGTGCTGGTCCAGCACGAGTAACAGAGTAAAGTCTCAGCCCGCCTGGCCACGGTGTGGGGAGCTCACGTTCAGGGGAGCGAGGCCTGGAAACAGCAGAGGACCCCGGAATGCAGAGGAATCGCTGCGACAAACTCACGGAAGCAGCCAGTCCTTGTCACAAGAGCCAACGTGGCCGTGTCCACTGGGGTCCCGGGAATTCTTGCAGGTTCCCTTGACCTGGAGGCACCCCTGTGAGCGCTGCCATACATCAAGGGCCATGGGGGAGTGCATGTATCTGATCCTTGCTGTACTCATCCATAAAATGGGCAGCCATGTCAGGGTGCCATGAAGAGAGATCCTGGTAGCAATGCTTGGCACCGTACCTGGCATCGTGGGGGCCCCCGAGTGGCTAAGGGAGCCCCGCGTAGTTACAGAACAGGCATCGCATCCAGGAACACGGAAATGGCACGTCGGGGAAGCACGCGGAGCTTCATGGAGACCTGCTTCATGGAGACCTGCTTCATGGAGACCTGCTTCATGGAGACCTGCTTCATGGAGACCTGCTTCATGCAATGGCACCAGGATCTGCCTGGGCATCAAAGCTGTGTCTGTGTCGCTGTCCAAGAGAAATCATTCCCTGGAAGGAAACGCCCCTAATACTTTACCCCCAGCCCCACAGGACACACAGACGCCCTCAGCACCACGCCCATCCTCTCCTGCAGGCTCACCCAGGGCTCCAACCAGGGACCCTGAGAGCGAAACCTGCATCATTTCTTCTCACGGAAACGGCCTTCTCGCTTTGTGATCAGCAGGCACCGTCGTCTCCTGATGTCGTGGGCTACGGCCCGAAACTGTGTGTGACGGCTTAGAAAAGCTTGAAGAACAAAAAAACAACAACAAAAAAAGAGTTTTGAAGTCTGCTAAATGCCCACGGTCTCCACAACCACTCGAATCGGGTTATTTTTTGTAATTCCTTTAAATGAAATATCTTTGATAATAAATGCAAATTAGGGAACAATAAATTATAACTTCTAGGCTGACCAGCGACTAATTACATAGATTATAATTAACTCCAGTTTCCAACACAAGGTATTTATCTTAATAATCAGCCGCGCACATTAGCATATCTGAAAGGGATTTGCCGCACAGGCCGGGCCATTTGAGGAGCCCTTGGACCCTCCTCCCAGGACTAGGAAAGGGCGCAGACTCAAAGGAGAGGCGGTTACTTCCCAAAGACGTGCGGGCTAAGTATACGGTGAGGGGCTCAGATTATAGGCGTAGAACCCCAGCTTGAAAACATTTACCCTAAATACACCCTCTGACCACCACGCCGGAGCCTTCGGGATCTAAAAATCTATAATTTCCACGGATCCGATCCAAATACCTTTAACCCTGCTGGGCGCTGTGAATGCCGCCAGCATCCTTCCAGGCTGTGGGTGACGGTGTGAGAGCGACCAGGAGACAGGGTTTTCGGGAGCCTCCCACCACCTGCGCCATGAGCAGGGAGAGCCAGTCCGCGTGGCGATGAGACGAATTCCACGGATGTCCGTCCTGTGCTGCTCTTCCAGGCATTTTATAGTTTTTTTTAAATATATATTTTTATCGATTTCAGAGAGGAAAGGAGAGAGAGAGAGGGAGAGAGAGAAACATCAATGATGAGAGAGAATCGTTGATCGGCTGCCTCTTGCACGCCCCCCACTGGGGATTGAGCCCACAACCCAGGCATGTGCCCTGACCGGAATCGAACCCAGGACCCTTCAGTCCACAGGCCGATGCTCTATCCACTGAGCCACACCAGCGAGGGCCCAGTCATTTTAGCAACTTCATTACCTCTCTGACCCACAGGGCTCTGAGCTCTGGGGATTGTAAACAAGATGAGGGCCTGCACGCCCACCTGAGGCCAGCTTCAGTAAGATTCAGTGTTTGGGGGTCTTGTTCTTTCTTTCTTTCTTTCTTTCTTTCTTTCTTTCTTTCTTTCTTTCTAATATGTCTTTATTGATTTCAGAGAGGAAGAGAAAGGAAGAGAAAGGAAGAGAGATGGAAACATCAATGATGAGAGAGAGTCATGGATTGCTGCCTCCTGCATGGCCCACACTGGGGGCCGAGCCTACAACTCAGGCCTGTGCCCAGACCGGGAATCAAACCCTGACCTCCTGGTTCATTCGTCAATGCTTGACCACTGAGCCACACCGGCTGGGCAAGAGTCAGTGTTTTGCTTTCTACATGTTCTAGAGTTCAGGGGTGCAGTGAAGAGGTAGGGAAATGGCCCCAACAACCTGGGTTGCTTTGAGACCATGCTGCCTTCTCCTCCAGTGATCAGGAGTCTCTCTCTCTCTCTCTCTCTCTCTCTCTCTCTGTCTCTCTCTCTCTTTTCTTTTGATGCAGCTGTAATTCCAGCTCCGGCCACTATCGCTGCATTTTCCAACAGGTCCTGGGTCACTGTCCAGGGGACTTACACGAGTCGGACCCGCCAAAGGCACCGCGAAGGTCAAACCTTCCAGCCGCAATAGAGCACCTCCCCGATTTAATCTGAGAGATTGATGCGCAAATCACCCTGATTTCGATTTGGCGCCGGGGTTATAAACACACTTGCCACCGCCGATAACGGGGAAGAGGCGGCCCAGGCACGGGGCACTGTATTTCACGCCCTGGGTGAAGTTTTCCCTGATGCAGCCATAAATCAGCCCGCAAGGGGCGTCTGACGGAGGCAGCGAGGAAGCCAGGGATGGAGACGTGAACCCGGGACGGGCTGGGAGCCATCGGCTTGTATCAAGGCCACCGGGGCATAAACTTCCAGGGGCACAGAGCTCCGCGGGGGCTGCAGAGGGCCACGGAAGAAATCTCGATGCCCGGCCAGCGTGGCTTAGCGGTTGAGCGTCGACCTATGAACCAGGAGGTCAGGGTTCGATTCCCGGTCAGGACACATGCCCGGGTTGTGGGCTCGATCCCCAGGGTGGGGCGTGCAGGAGGCAGCTGGTCAATAATGCCCTCTCATCATGGATGCTTCTCTCTCTCTCTCTCTCTCTCTCCCTCTCCTTTCCTCTCTGAAATCAATAATAACAAATATATATATTTTAAAAATGTATAGTTCTGGGCACTGGAGCAGCGGGTTTGGGAGAAGGAAGGGCAGATTAGAAAGCCAGGTCTTTCCGACACACGCCCTGAACTGTGAGGAGGGGGACGCAGTGGAGTGGGGAGAGCGGGAAGCACAAGCCGGCAGCTTCCGCGGCCGCACTGTCCCTGCAGGTCCGACCTGCCTGCCTCCACGAAAGGCTTACATCAGATTCATGTATTTTTTTTTTAAGGAAGCACCAGTCATTCTAATTTATATAATCATTTCGTGAAGTGGCCCAAATGCCAGGTTGTACCGGTCCTGGGCCATTGAGCTCAGTGCCTCCACGCCCACCGCCCTGGGCCTGGGGGCCTCTGCCTCCTGCTTAGGGTCAGCTCTCCGTTCTGCTTATGGCGAAGGTGTGCTCCTAGCTTCCTCCCGCCCTCCCTGCCCCCATTCACCTGGGGGAGCCCCAGCCAGTGGGCGGGCACAGGGCCTTGCTCCTGGGGGCATCGGGGACTGGGAGAGTCGGGTGAGGTCCGACATGCCTGGCGAGGTGCTCCCTGGGAAGAAACAGAACAATCCAGGCTGGAAAGAGCACAGAGAGGATTAGTAACTTGCATCACAGACCGCCCTCCCCGCCCCCAACACTCCTGTTCTCCCAGTGCAGACAATGCCTCTGCTCACGCAGACAGCGCCGTCTCCCCGCGCAAAACGGGGCCAACGGGCTGCATTTGCAGGAAAAAAATTGCTTCCACCTGATGCAACTAAAGGTTTCTTCGATTTAGAAAAATAAAACTGCTTTCTCCTCCTTCTCCTCCCTTGCGCCCTTTCTCTAGTGTAGTGAGTGATACCTTGGAAAACCAGGTGACTAAATGAAAAAACCCGCCTTGCCTTTAGGAAGGGGGAGAATCCCAGAAATTCTTAAAGGAAAGGTAACTGAGTAGTCTTCTCTCTGGCGTCATCGCATCCAAATTAAACTTTCAGGGTGACACCGTTTACACCCTCCCAAAACAGACCAAAAAGATAAGGATAAAGACCCTCCCGAGGGCACTTGGCCCGAGGTTACAAAGTCAACTTAAAATAACAACACGGAAGAGAGAACGAAGAAAAGAAAGGAGTAGAAATCCTTCTCCCAAAAGGCGGGTCTCGGCCCAGGGATTAGAGAAACCCTAGCCCCCTGCTCAGAGGGCCCCCCCCTTCCTCCCCTCTCTCTCCCACGCCAGGCGGAAGGCTTG